GGAGGCTGAGGCAGGAGAATTGCCTAAACCTGGGAGGCGGAGGTTGTGGTGAGCCGAGATTATGCCACTGCACTCCAGTCTGTGCGACAGAGCAAGACTCCATCTCAAAATAAATAAATCAATAAATAATAAATTAAAATACTGTATTGTTGGACCGAGTGTGGTGGCTCATTCCTGTAATCCCAGCACTTTGGGAGGCTGAGATGGGAAGATTGCTTGAGTTCAGGTATTCAAGACCAGCCTTGGCAACATAACAGGATCTTGTCTCTACTAAAAATTTAAAAAACGAGTCAGGCGTTGAGGTGCATGCCCATGGTCCCAGCTACTTGGGAGACTGAGGCAGGAGTAACACTGGAGCCTGGGAGATCGAGGCTGCAGTGAGCTATGATCTTGCCACTGCACTCTAGCCTTATGACAAAGTGAGACCTCATCTCAAACAACAACAACAACAATAACAAAAATTGTTGTTTACTGGAAATTTTCTGAAAGGGCAAAGCTTATGTGTTCTCTCTGCCCACTCCCCTGCCTCCTGCCGCCCACACACACAAAAACGGTAACTGTGGGAATGGAAGTGTTGATTAATTTGATCATGGTAATCACTATACATGTATATGTTAACAAGTCATCACATTGTATACCTTCAATATATACAATTTTTGTCAATAAAAGAAAAACTTTTATTTGAACTATAGTGACGTTTGATGATATTGCTCAGTGAAACATTTATAAATTTACACTTACTTTAGTATCTATCCACATACGCACATGGTGTACTCAGTCCTTGGAAAGAGAACACGCACACCAAAATTCTGACCTTGCTCATTGGCTCTCACATGCATGTTACTGGACTTCAGCCTTTGGGTTCAATAGCTCTTCTGTGGGCCAGTGAAACTGCATGTTTAACAAGCCCCCGCATGTTTAACAAGCCCTTGATGCAAATGTTCAGAGGAAACATATGGTAAAAAGTAGCTGGGCGCAGTGACTCATGCCCATAATCCTAGCACTTTGGGAAACTGACGTGGGCAGATTGCTTGAGCTCAGGAGTTTGAGACCAACCTGGGCAACATGGAGAAACCCCATCTCTACTAAAAATAGAAAAATTTGCTGGGTGTGTTGGTGCATGCCTGCAGTCCCAGCTACTCAGGAGGCTGAGGTGGGAGGATCACCTGAGCCTGGGACATGGAGGTTGCAGTGAGCTGAGATTGCACCATACCACTGTACTGCTGCCTGGGCCACAGAGCAAGACGGTGTCTTAAAAAAAAAAAAAAAAAGGTGATAGTAAACAGGTTTTCCTGCTTACTACCTGCAATGTTAAGATGTAGCTGTAAATATTAAAAATCTTTAAAATAGAGATTTTGAGGACTCATTGAAATACAAAGCAGGTTTTGTTATTACATCTTGTTTCCAGATGTTCTCAAAAGGAACTTTTAAATATGAAACAGGTACCTGTGTGCCAACTTCTGAGGTTTTCATGCTGTGTTTCGTCATTTTTAAATACGCAGGCTTCTCTTTAGCTTGGATATTCTTAAATAACGATTGTCTCTGAACTTTTTTTTTTCAGATAAAACTATCTTGGCTATCCTAGTAAATACATACTTTTGTTTTCCCTTTGCTTAACTAGTCTTTGTTTTTCTCTCAGTGCTGTGATGCAAAGGAGATATGAGCAGACCAAACTGAAGAATAAGATTTCTGAGATGTGGCTGACACAGTTTAACGGTTCTTCATTGTTGTTATTTTCCCAGCCTTCATCCCGGAGATCTCTATCCTTTCACCAGGAAGCCCCTGTTCATCATTGTGGATTCATCTAATAGTGTTGCATACAAGGTGAGTTCCATGAGAGCTATAGCACAGGGTAGACATTGTGGCACCAACCCAAGGGTACCCACTCTTAATGTGTGCCTTTTTATTTTGCTTTATTTTATTTAATTTTACACAGTTTGTATTTAGTGTTTCTTTTCTTTTGAGGTTGTGCATGCTAGTCAGGATCTGGTGCTATGAATAGAAACAAGAAGAAAACGCATGAATGGACACTCAGTGGAAAATAATAAATCCTTCTGCAGGAAAAAAAAATTCAAGATTTCCAAGATCTCTGGTGGGAGGTTTATTTTTGTTATATAACCCAGAATAATTTTTCTTTTATAGAGGTAGAGGTATAAGGGTGAATTTCTCTAGTGTTCAAACGTTTCCCCTTCTCATGCTGAGCTGCTGTAGTTTAAGTGAAACTTGTAGCCCGTACTTTTAGTCTTTGAATATTAACATATTGTTTTACATGCACTTAATTTTTTGAAAATTTGTGACAATCACAAAAAAAAGATGGTCCTGAATGCTGAAATAAGTGACAGGGATCTAACTTGAATATCCTTCGTTTTATATTTCACTATTGAAATGATGATTTTCAGTGATTCTATAAAGAATGCCAGCGGTCGGCTGGGTGCAGTAGCTCACGCCTGTAATCCCAGCACTGTGGGAGGCCAAGGCGGGCAGATCACCTGAGATCGGGAGTTTGAGACCAGCTTTACCAACATGGAGAAACCCCCATCTCTACTAAAAATATAAAATTAGCCGGGCATGGTGGTTCATGCCTGTAATCCCAGCTACTTGGGAGGCTGAGGCAGGAGACTCACTTGAACCTGGGAGGCGGAGGTTGTGGTGAGCCGAAATCGTACCATTGCTCTCCAGCCTAGGCAACAAGAACAAAACTCTGTCTAAAAAAAAAAAAAAAAAAAAATACCAGCAGTGAAACACGTTAAAGGTAGATATTGTAATTCAAACTATAGTAATTTGCAGGAAAAGGAAAACACAGTCTTTAGGTCCTTTGTATCTGGTCAAAATGTTTCATTAGTGAAAAATGTATTCAGAAATATTCTGGGTGCACAGATCTGCCACCTCAAACTGTTTCTGCTGTGGGTGTTCATACTGCAGTTAGAGGGAGAAGCAAACTCCTGGCCGGGCATGGTGGCTCACGCCTATAATCCCAGTACTTTGGGAGACCGAGGTGGGCGGATCACAAGGTCAGGAGATCGAGACCATCCTGGCTAACATGGTGAAACCCCGTCTCTACTGAAAATACAAAAAATTAGCCAGGCGTGGTGGTGGGCGCCTGTAGTCCCAGCTACTCGGGGGGCTGAGGCAGGAGAATGGCATGAACCCGGGAAGCGGAGCTTGCAGTGAGCCAAGATTGTGCCACTGCACTCCAGCCTGGTCAACAGCAAGACTCCGTCTCAAAAAAACAAAAGTAAATAAATAAAGAAGCAAACTCCTGATACGTTTCTATCAGGAGACCAATGGAAATGTCTGGTAGCCAAGAGAGCTGACGCTAAGTATACGTTTTCCATTTAGTTTTCATGTTTAGTTTTACTTAAACTCTTTATTCCAAGAGCTTCCAATGTACCCTACATTTTTCAGCAGCATTTGTCCTCCTACTAATTTTGTTTAGTATTACAACTTTCGATTTTTAGGAAAGTTAGCAGCTTCCCCTCCCCTCCCCTCCCCTCCCCTCAACAGAGTTTCACTCTTGTTTCCCAGGCTGGAGTACAATGGAGTGATCTCTGCTCACTGTAACCTCCGCCTCCCAGGTTCAAGCGATTCTTCTGCCTCAGCCTTCCAAGTAATTGGGATTACAGGCTTGCACCACTATGCCTGGCTAATTTTTTGTATTTTCAGTAGAGACAGGGTTTCTCCATGTTGGTCAGGCTGGTCTCGAACTCCTGACCTCAGGTGATCCACCCGCCTCAGTCTCCCAAAGTGTTGGGATTACAAGTGTGTTCCACTGTGCCTGGCCAGCAGTGTACTTTCTTAAATTGTATGTGTGTTTTGTTTTTGTGGGAAATGGAAGAATGTGGGAGGCTGCTGAATGAAAAGATTTATTGGCTACCCTAATTAAACTTATAAAGCCAGAGGAGTCCAGGCATTTTGTGTCTTCACAGAATTCAAAAGAAGTACTCTGTCTTTGTCAATAAAAATGAATCTGTTGCAGCAGTTTGGTGATGTGACAGAATGTGTTTTTGCACTGGGTCCAGTGTATTGTTTAACATGATCTAGCATCATCGAGAGTACTTTAGCAATCCATTAGTTTCTCCCAATTTAATTGGGCATTCTTGGATACCACTTCTCAGGAATACCATTCATTGTATGTGCCTGCTATTTCCAGAGGACTATTTAGATTTAGGATGAATGTTGGATGCCGACTTTAAAGATACCATTGTGTATAATTGGAAATGTATTTACTCAATTAATGCATCATGGCTTAATTTTAGATTTTAATATTGTGATGCACAGGACAGCTGTGGAATAATAGCAAGTTTTCTTTTGTTGTTATTTGCTTTTGATGGCACTGGCGGTGTCACTCCTCTAAAGAAATAAATGGTCCAGAACATACCAATCTTCAGAAATGAAAAAGGAGGCTGGGTGCGCAGTGGCTTCCGCCTGTAACGCCAGCACTTTGGAAGGCTGAGGCAGGCAGATCACTTGGGGTCAGGAGTTCAAAACCAGCCTGGCCAACATGGTGAAATCCCGTCTTTACTGGAAATTTAAAAATTAGCCGGACGGGGTGGCGCGTGCCTGTAGTCCCAGCTACTTGGGAGGCTGAGGCAGGAAAATCGCTTGAACCCAGGAGATGGGGGTTTCAGTGAGCCGAGATCACGCCATTGCAGTATTTGAGACAGAGTGAGATTCTGTCTCAAAAAAAAAAAAAAAAAAGAACCCCATATGCAGTAGGCAAATCAGACCATGGCACAGACCAATTTTAGTCTTTTTAGAAATTAATATTACTTACTACATTTAATTTAAGCATGTAGTTCTCTTTAGTAGCATATGAAGGTGTCTCATATTTATTTTTCCCACAAAAGCATTTGTAGGCTGGGCGCTGTGGCTCACACCTGTAATCCCAGCACTTTGGGAGGCCAAGACAAGAGGATCCCTTGAACCAGCAATTTGAGACAAAGCTGGGCAAGATAGCAAGACCCCAAATCTATTTTTAAAATTTAAAAATTAGCCAGGCATGTTTTTGTGAGCCTGTAGTCCCAGCTACTTCAGGAAGCTGAGGTGGGAGGATCTCTTGAGCCCAGGAGTTCGAGGATGCAGTGAGCTGTGATTGCGCCACTGCACTCCAGCCTGAGTGAGAGAGCAACACCATATCTCTAAGAAGTTAATTAATTAGATGAAATGAAATTAAGCATTGTAAAGTCTTAAGCTACCACTTTGCAAGTTTTTTGTGTGTTTGTTTGTTTGTTTGTTTGTTTTGAGACAGAGTCTTGCTCTGTCGCCCAGGCTCGAGTGCAGTGGCGCAATCTTGGCTCACTGAAACCTCTGCCTCCTGGGTTCAAGCGATTCTCCTGCCTTAGCCTCTCAAGTAGCTGGGACTGCAGGCAAGCACCAGCATACCCTGCTAATTTTTGTATTTTTAGTAGAGACAAGGTTTCACTATGTTGGTCAGGCTGGTCTTGAACTCCTGACCTCATGATCTACCCGCCTCAGCCTCCCAAAGTGCTGGGATTACAGGCATGAGCCACTGTGCTGGCCTGCAAGTTTTTAGTGAAAAAAGAGAACTGGGTTAACTGATGTATTATTTCTGGAGTATTTACTTTGCTATATATGTTTTATATAGGTATGGATGTTTTCATGTACATTTCTTCATTTAAATACTACGCGTTAATTTTTTTTTTTTGAGATGGAGTTTCGCTCTGTCACCCAGGCTAGAATCTCGGCTCACTGCAACCTCTGCTTCCTGGGTTCAAGTGATTCTCCTGCCTCAGCCTCCCGAGTATCTGGGATTACAGGCACGTGCCACCATGCCTGGTTAATTTTGTATTTTTAGTAGAGATGGGATTTCCCCATGTTGGTCAGGCTTGTCTCGAACTCCTGACCAGGTGATCTGCCCTCATCAGCCTCCCAAAGTTCTGGGATTACAGGCATGAGTCACTGCGCCTGGCCACTTGTTAGTGTTTATGAAGTAACTCATGCATATAGTTTAAAGTTGTATTTCTCAACTATTTCTGTGCATCAGAAACCTTCAGAGCCCTTTTCGAACCACTTGTAGCTGGGCCCCACCCACCTCGTGTGATTATGATCACTTCACTTGGGGTGGGTCTCAGCTACAGTATTTATTAAGACTAGCTCTGTTGTGCTGCCATGGTGAGAACTACTCACTCAAAAATCCCTCCAGATTTGCTACTAAAAACAGCAGTCTCCCACTTTTTGTTGCAACCCCTATTTGCCTCTTCCCGGGGGCCCTTTTTTAATTATTTTTTGGTTTTTTTTTTTTTTAACCCCCATTTTTCTTTTTCCTTCCTTCTCTCCCCTAACCCCTCTTTTTCTAAATAATATATTGGCATTGATAATTCTTGATTCTTCAGTTTTAGGTGTTACATACTGATTTCCCACTATGAAAGAGAAATTTAGCTCTCTTTCCTCTTTCTGTCTCCAACTCACATTTCTACCCTTTCCATCATTTTATCCATACCATAGATAATTTTGACAGATAATTTTTTTTGTTTTGTTTTGTTTTAGTGGGAGGCTCACTCTGTCGCCCAGGCTGGAGTGCAGTGGCGCGATTCAGCTCACTGCAACCTCTGCCTCCTGGGTTCAAGCGATTCTCCTGCCTCAGCCTCTCAAGTAGCTGGGATTAGAAGCACGTGACACCACACCTGGCTGATTTTTGTGTTTTCAGTAGAGTGGGGGTTTCACTATGTTGCCCAGGCTGGTCTCGAACTCCTGACCTCCGGTGATCCACCTGCCTTGGCCTCCCAGAGTGCTAGAATTATAGACGTGAACCACCGCTCCCAGCCTAGCTTCCAGTATTTCTTTTTTTTTCTTTTTTTGAGATG